TTGTATAAATTAAATTAGGAAAAATGTACACAGTTCTTTGCTGTATCATGAAGGAAATGAGGCATGATGGGCACTAAACACTTTGGAACTCATATCTGCTTAACCATTTCTGCTATTCTCCAAGAAACTGTAGTAAACTCAAAGATAGAGATGACACACTGCTTGAAATACTGGAAAAGTAAGAGTAAACACTGTTCTAAATAGACATCAATGTAAACACAGTCAAGATATGGTAGATAAAATTATTTATGTTCACAAAAAATAAACTTGAACAAACTTAGGGTTTTATACAAGAACAAAAAAGGTGGTCTAACATGGTGAATCACCCTAAGAGAAAATTGTAACTAACATCAGTAAAGGCAGCTAAAAATAAAGCAAAACACAAGATAGGATATTGAAGCAGATCACTCTTCTACAGCCTCTGCTGATATACTGCCTGCAAAATAATGCAGGTTAGTCTTAAGGAAACCCTGCTCTTTCTACTTTCTTGGATACAAGAATGTAAGCCTGTTAATGCCGTCTGTATTCAGCCTCAGAAAGGCTGAAATATCTTGCATCAAAGAGACTTTGGTTTCAGAAAAGTAAGACAAAAACTCCAATTGTATTTTGCCATTTATTATCTCAGAGTAGCCTTTAAGTTATTCAGTTCATCATATACCCTCTGGTTACTATAAGGACAACCCTGCATCTATCCCTCTCCTGATTCTAAATCATCTGCTCCTTCTGTATGTGCTCAGATGACATATCACTGCAGTTTGGAAGGCAGACTTCATAGACAGGAGCCAGAATTGGTTTTACAACTGTAAAATCCACAGACTTGGGCCAGAATAATTGAAAAGAAAATAAATTACAAAGTACACATTCACTTTCATCCATTTATACTTATTTTGATTTAGCAATGCCATCTCTAACTCGGGGAAAACTTACTACACTTATTGCTTAAAGATCAGAATGGGCTACATCAGATTCTGTAGCCTTCAGTGCTAGTCTAGTGCTAAATGATGGATCCCCCCGACCCTGGCCTGGGCCTACTTTGGCAAAACTCATCCTAAAATCACTAACATTTTTGCCCAAACCTGAATTCCTTCTTGTGGGGAACTCAGAAACTGGAACAGCTTCACATCACCATTCTGAAGATCCAGAAGCTTGATGGCAGTTTACCATGCAGAACAAAATAAAAGAATGCAGACTAAGCCAGCAGCACACGTGAATGATTTCTGTCTCCACAATTACTACAAGAATGACAACCATCATCACTTGCAGCCATTTCTCTCCCCATTTCATCTCTATGTTTTGTATGTGATGAAGCACAAAAAATAAGGTGTAGTGCTGCAAAGTGAATAAACAGACAGAAGCATTGAACTCACAACTCAAGACAGGCAGTCATTTAAGTAGCCATTGTGGAATACAATTTCCTGGTATAGGTTTAGACTTGTGCTTTGATTGAATTGTCAGAAAAACAAAAAAATATCATAAGGAGGGATCTGATGCTCTAGCAACACTCTCACTTCATGTGCTACAGTCTGTTCACACAAACACCTCATGCTTCGTATGCAACATCGATCTGGATGGTGTGCCATCCATTTCTGCAGGGCTGCCACCTCATTCTTCACTGTAAGTCAGGAGAGAAAATAGTTTCAGAGGCTGTAATTTTTTGTCATATAAAACAGACCTCTTAGTCAATAATTTTCCACAATATCTGAAAGACTCATAATTAAAAAATGAATTCTAACAGAACAGCTGTAAATTAAACAGGTAAATTTATAACTTTGACTTCAAATCTACAAATAGAAGAGATCAATGGACACTCCAGAACATATATTATATTAAGAAAGCAGGCTTAACTACTAAAAGGTCTCCTTAGAAGAGTATGAGCAACTTTTACAATCTTTAAAATACAATCAGATCTTGATAAACCATAGCCATTACTATTACTTTTGGATTAGGTTTTTGTTTAGTGATGCACATTAGAAAACAATGATCATCAGGTGGCTTTTGCCACTTGTTATCACCAATAAAACACCCAGGGAAGGGTGAGGAGGTCAGCATGCAGTAAATAGCATGCAGAAGAGTCTGTGAATGGAATATCTAAAAAGGCCTCAGGAAAAGAGGTATCCCCAGGAATTTTTATCAACCCAGAAAAATCTCTGTCAGTTTTATTATTACTATTATCATTAAATATAATTGCACCTGAAAAAGTCAAGATGCTAAATATATATAAAATAAATTACCTTAAAATTAGTGTTTTCTCTTTCTCTTATAATTTGCTTCATGGTTTAAGTAGATGGGTTTTCAAAGTTTATTTTATTGTCACTTTAATCTGTTTTCATAGCTCTGATTTAAAAATCTATTTATCCCACATTTCTATTACAATTTTACCCATGCTGCCTTGCTTCTCTTGACAATTGAAAATGGCCTAATGGAAGGCTTTGAAGAAAAGAAGATGGACAAGTCTTTGACTATGACAGCACAAGCATGTAGCAGTTTTCAGACAGTTACAAAAGATCTTGGTCTCATGAAAAGTTTGCATGCAATTTGTTAAGAGATCCTAAATGGTCTTAACTGTCATTTCAAGATGCACCTTTAACTTTAGATTTCATTTTTTTTCTGAAATAATCCTGATGTAAACTCACTTCTATTTATTTGAACCATAAACCAGAGATAACAGTCTTACAGACATTCAAGAAGTCACTAACACTTTAAAAGTTTCTCTTCAACTTTCCTATTGCATGTCACAGCATGAATCTCAGATGACATTCTTTATTTGAACAGTTAGGTAGAGTCAGTTATATATATGATGAACAGTGATACCATACCCAGAAGAGCACAGCAGCATGCCTTTGCTCCTCATGAATGACTGGCAAATCCTCCTAATCTATCCTGACCACAAAAGAACAAGAGAAATTAAAGCTGAACTAGTTCTATATTTACTGCTAGTGAACAGCTTCAGGGATAAAATTGGCCAAACTACACAGGAAGCATTCAATAGAACTTTTAGCAAGAATATCAACCACAAAAAGTAGATTTTATTTAAATATCTGAAATAATCTGAAACTAGCACCATGGCATACAGAGTAGTCTGAAAAAAAAAATATGTAAAAGAAGCTGAAAATTTTTCATTATTTTCTTTTCCAAAACTGATTGGAAAGAGAAAGCAATGATTTTCTTTTGTTATTATTTTTTTTTAATGAATGTGTATGTCTCAGGTTTAATTTCTTTGTTTCAGTCTATTCAGCAAAATTTTTTTGTAATTAAAAAAAAATCAGTCATTAAAATGTCCAATTAAGGATAGAGAAAGGTAAATGTTTGAGACCAAGATACAGAGAAAAAAAAGTGCCTTCATCATTAATGCTGCAATGAGTCATTATGCAAGTACTTATCTTACTGCAGAACTTAAATTTCTGTTGTTGGTACTTGTGTCCATTTCCCCTCTTCTGTCTACCAACTACTACAAAGAGCCTGACTTTCATTTTCTCTATAACATCCCATAAGGCATGCAAGAGCACATGATCCCATCTTAGACTTTTTCTACAGCCTCAACAAATTCATATCTCTGCACCTCTCCTCACATGCAACAAGACTGTTTTCCAGTTAATTTATAGAATTTTGCATGTTATAATGTAACACCTGAAGAATATACATTGCCTTGCTCAGATATGTCAAGTCACATTTACATAATTTGAGTCACAGGGTTGCAACCAATTAGGCTTAGCACTGCTCAATTTTACAGTCTTCTGGGGTTCTTTTTGTTTTGTTTTTAAGAAATGAAGAAAACCTGGTTTTATATTAAAAAAAGAGACAGGATTTGATGTCATTTTCATTCCAGCACAAAAAAGCCTAAATATTTGGATATATCACAAAAGAGAAAAACCAGAATGGGTGACAGTCTAATGGCTCAAGCCATATCTATCCCATTCCAATGAATCTGAATTTTACAACAGGATTCAAAATAAAAGCAACTTAAAATGTTGGCAGTGAGCACTAGAACATTGCTTCTGGTTGTTCCAGAACCACCCTGCAGTATATCCAGTGCTTCAACATGACTGTGAATATGGCAAACTCCAGCAGCAGACTAAGGCCCTTCATCATTTACTTTAGGTCTGTTTTGGCCCCTAGCATTCCTTCCTGTTTACTTATATATCTTCAAGGTTCCATGAAATGTCAACATACCCCCAGCTCATTCAAAATTTGCAAAGGGCCCAATTGCCCTTCCACTATGAATTAATGCATAATACATTGCAAATAATCTGAACATCAAGTAACACAACCAGCATTTACCTCTAGTAAACCTCTTGGCTATTTGCCAGATAAAACCAAAGCAAACAGCCTCTTCTCTTCCCAAAGAATCACATAAAGTAACAAACTCTGAGTGTTTCCAGTCCTAGTGTTCGCATTTTCTCAAGTAATTCAACTATCCTAAAACCCCCTTCATTCAAGCTCTCACTATATTTTTTTCTTGCAAAGCCATGTTGCGCTAGCATAAAATTCTTATTCTTTTGAACTACCCTGCTAAAGCAAGCATCAGCTATGTCAGCTTGAGGATCTGTTCAGTTCTCACTTAACGTTCTTCATGAGGAATAAACCAACAACCTTTACTTTTAAAAGCTTCTACTCTTTGCTTTCCAAGAATAGAAATATTTCACCAGAAATTCAGATGTATTCAGGACTATGCATATGAATCAGTAGATTATCACTGATGCAAAATGTTCCTTCACCTTTTGAACAAATCCTACTCCTGAATCACATAAAGCTTTTGAGTTTTGTTTGTTTCCTCCCTCCCAAATTACTTTTGGCATCAAGATTTAATCCTTTGTGCATCCCATTCAGCAACTCTACAAAGCTCTAAAGAACTACTATAAGCAGTTTAACCTGATGAGAATTGAAGACATAGAAAATACAGAATATGACACATGATATTTTAGAGTAACAGCTTTCTTCAAATTCATATCCAGTTAAGAGAAACCCAGGTCTGGGAGAGACGTGGGCCTGTCTGTACTCACTATGTGCAGCTGCAGAAAATCACCAAGCCCAGGGGCACTGTCAATCCGGACAAGAATGCCATCCTTCACTGTTGTGCTGAAGCCCACAGCAAGACGGTCTGTCCTTGTGCTTGGTCTGTCATTAGCTGGCCAGGTGTACAGGATGAGACCTCCACTCTTCCCAAAGATATATGTGGCACCAGCTACAAGATACAAAACAAAAGAAAAATGTATTAGTTACTTATTTGCCAAGTCTGGTGGTAATCCTATGATTTACGAGAGGAGCAACTTAAGCAAGCACATGCTTTCGTTAGTTACAGGGGTGAAAACAATGTGTCCTGCTGGCCAGGCCTGATGAAGTACATTACTAGTTCCTAAGTAAAGCCATGCAGCATTTAAGACAAAGATAAGTGAAGAGTTTATCAAAAATCATCAAGATGGCTTATCAAGAATGAATTATTTCATTAGTGCTAATACCCCAGACAAGGCTGGATAGAACACTGCTGTTCAGGGGGTTAAATCACAAGCCACTCCTATTTCAAAAGCATGGGATTCAGTGTCTTATAAGGGGATTCAAAGGAAATATTTTTCATTTCTCCTTAGGTTGGACTTGCCTTCAGCTAAAGTCTATTCACACATAGTAGGAGACTATACTTTTCTCAACACTTCTTGAGATTTTTTTGATATCTAGTCCACATATTTCCAGCATCATTTGTCTTGTCATAGCTGAACCTGGGAATTTGTTCCTTGCCCTTGTTTTTAAAGACAACACCAAACTTCCTCCATGCTGAGCACTGTCCTCCCACATTCATGAGGGCCATCTGAGCTGAGGAAGGCAGAAATGCAAGTGAAGAATTATTACTGCAGACGAGTAAGCTGAGAAGCTAAAGCATTTGGAGTTCACATTCTAACTTGAATTAAACAGTCTGAGTTAGGAGCAAGATTTTATAACTCAGCAGTTATAAAATCATCCCCTGAGCTTCTTAAAAAATATACCTAAAATTCCTGTCCTGTCCAAATCTTCAGGCAGGCCAGGAACAACACTCCTCCATGTTTCAGCCACTTACTCATTCAGCCTCCATGTTTCAGCCACTTCTCATTTTTCTGAGCACTATTACAATTGTTACAGAATAGTAAGTAAAAATAACCAGCTTCTGTTACTGCAACAAGGATAAAACATATGTAGAAAATACAGGCAATTACTGGGTACATGTTCTAATCTGAGTGAAACTACAGCTGAGAATTACAATATGTACCATGCAACCCTGTGCAGAGTAAAAGTAGATAGATACAGAAACAGGTAGGATCATAGAACGGTAATTTCCACACTTGCCTACAAAGCTGCAGCTTCACTAAAGCTCTCTATGACCTGAATTCCAAATAAACGCTACACATTAGTAGAAATAATTGATACACTTCTCCCTTGCTAAAGAGGCTTCCTCTACACATCTCAGAACACATTACTAAAACAGACATCAAAAGTTCAGCCACAGAGAAATTAAATTATTTGTGAACAGCTGACTCAATGACAGAGCGATAATGAATCATGTTTTCTTCTTCCCTTCTAGGCTTGTGCACGACCAACAGAACATGCCCTCAGTAAATTCAGACAAATGCATCCAAAATCAGAGTTATATAGGAAATTTCAGTCATAATTCTGAATTATCAAAGGAGCATATTCTGGCATTCTGGAAATGTGAACATACACTATTTCACTTTGAGAAAGAATAATTTTACAGACTTGGTCTCCTCATTCAGATTTAAACTCCAGACAGAGGGTGTACAACTATTTTAAGATGTGTAGAAAGAGGTTCTGTCTGTTTGAACACATCCCCAGCTCTATCTGCAACCTTATGGTTAGACAGCTGGAGATGACCAGGTAGTGAATTACTTATGTCCTCCCCCCATGCTCAGGTGTAAGAACAGTCCCCCTAAAACTACACTACAAATATACTCCTTCAGTTTATCTGTTTGTTCTATAATTTGTGTGTGTATTTGCAGTACAGACTAAAACTAGGCAAATTAAAACCCACTTCTCAAAATTACTTTCACTTGAATTTCAATTTCTCCTCCTTTCCTCTGCACTAGTTATCAGGCCTTTCAGCAGCAAAGACAAGCTTGGAGGTGAGTTCTTCACTCTTTATGAAGACAGATTACTTTTTTGCCTCTCTAAGAGTCATTTGGCTGCAGGTAGACCACGTCAGTCCTCCAATGAGAGCCAATTACATCCTCACAGGACTTTCATGAGACTTAAGTACTTAAACAGATCTTATTTTCTCCTCACAGAAGATAGATTGTGCTTGTAAGCCTAACCTGACAATATTTAGTACTTTGGTATGATGGTACCAAGGTTCCTAAAAAACAACACAGTATAAATCTGCCTCTGTTGGGTCTTATTCCAGTTTTCTCTGAGATGGCTCTACATAATGCTTCATGAAGACATGTAGTACTCTGTGTTTCAGCTGGGAATGTCAACTCAGTTCTGGAGTTCACCTGGTCCACAGGCTGTCCAACTTTACGTCAAAAGTGTCAGGGGTTTACTGTGATGGATTTTGCAGTCATATATTCTGGCAAGGCAGTGAGTTCTTGAAAGAAAGATAATTCAGATGCAACAACCAGAGCAGCACTAACCCAAACCCAGATTTCTGTAAGAAGAAATCTCATGGCCAGTAGTTGTTTGTTTATTTTCCAGGTCAGAAAATATCTGCCTAATGAGAGATGGGACACTTGCTTTACCTGTGTGTAGCTGAATGTACAGATATTTGTTGGATATATCAATGCCCCTTCCCTTCACCAACTTTTTGAGGACAAATAGGATATCCATTGACATTTTTGGAAAGAGACACATATTAACATTGTGCCAGTATAATTTTTTCCCCAAATCATGAACAAAATAGTCTATCCAGTCTGAAAACATAAGGTGCAACAAGTAAAACTGAAATATAACAAGAGTTAGTACCACATTGCAATCACATAAAGAGAAAAGATAACAAAAAAAAAAAACCAACCATGCAACACAAACACACTTGACTTAAATACTTCTATTTGACTGCATCAACCATGAGTTTATAGAGTTTGGAAATATGAGACAATTGAAAACGACAAGCAAATTATAACCCTGGACTTCAGGAAAGGAGATTTCAGCTTCACCAGAACTTGACAAGGCCTGGACAACTCTATTGGATTGGACTTGCTTTAAGCTGGTGTAAGGTGGCTAGACCAGTTTACCTCCAACAGTCCCTCCAGACCTTAAATCAATAATTATCCTTTTTTTTGTGGTCTTGCAGAGAATTGTAGAATAATTAACCAAAGCATTCTGATTAAAAAAAGAAAGCTGGTGAAATGCACATCTGTTCATCTTGATATCTTCTTGTACCTAAGGTCTGTCACAGTCCTCTTTATCAGACAAGAAATTGTAGTTTTTTTCTAAGATACTTTCTATTCAAGACAGACGGGAGACTACACTCTTAATGAGCAGCCACTTTATATTTAGTTTTTCCTCACTGTCGAAGGTTTAATTATGCAACTCCTTTAATAAATACAACACCAACTGGTCCTTAGCAATAGAAAAGTCTGAAGGACTGATTAATTTCACTGTTTTATAATATATTATTGTTACAATGTTTCACCACTTAAACTACATAACACTAAAGTCAACCCATACCATGCAAAAAAAGTAGAATAATAAAATCAAGGATACAAGCATACATAATTATTTCCCCAGTCAGTTTTGTGAGCAATCTCACTTCTCACAGTGCCCTGGGCCGGATTACCAACACATAAAAACAAATGGAAGCAGAATATTTTCAGCTACTCTGCATGTTGCATACAGAATTTGGTCAGCACTGGGAGCTCAGAGAACTGAAGAAGCACCTAGCAAGGAAGCACCCTACAGATTTAAGTTACTAGGACACCATTACATGTTTAGCATGTACAAAACTTATAAACTCACAAAATTTAGTGTGGCAGACTGACAGTTGACTTGTCCCAGAAATTACATAACTTGTAACTTATATCATTGGTATTAGAGATCAAAGATGCGTATGTTACATGTGACAATGCAGTGTGCATATCTAGCTCAGGTAAATTACGTATTTGCTAGTTATATTCATGAATAGAGCTGTTAGATTATTCAACTTCAGACAAAATAAAATAGTTTGAGGCAAAGACTTCTCATTGAAAACTTCTAACAGTAAAGTCATAACTAAGATTATAAGCCACAGCAAATAAAGCCTACAAGTGAGGTGTTTTAAGAAGCATTTAGTTTAAGTTAGCACCATAATTTGTAATTTTAATTCATAATTGCCTAAAGACTTCAAAACCTTATTTTAAGGATGAGTTTCTTCAGTCAATATAGTATAACTGCAGCTAAGTAGAAAAGAAAAATAATAATGTAAAAGTCGAGTAGTAGAAAACAAGTCTATTGCATCTGCACAAATTATAACTGCCACACACTCCTTCAAATTTCCCCACACTAAATAATTGATTGCAAATTCTCTATTTGCATCTACTAAACCATCAAAAGCCTGGTTTGCTCAGCTACAGCACAGCACACACACTCATTTCCCTGTGGCCAATGAAATGTAATGTTTGGAAGGCATTACGGTGTTTATACTCTGAAGGGTTAACTGCAGCAACTCTGCACTGGGAGGTGAATACAAGTTTAACATAGTGTTAATGCTACAGGTCATATTTTTACCAACATTCTAAAGTACCTTTAGAATGCAAAGTATGAAGAACCCAGGCCAATTCAAAAGCTACAATACTTACTTGAGTACCTTTGAGAAATCTAGCCCAAGGGAGATAGTCACAAGTGGTATGGAATGTAGGAGGGCATGGGTGACCTTTTAAAAGCCTTTTCTGCTTCAGTGATTTAGAAGTTCACCCCTGAACAATAATAGGACTTTGATAAAGTGACAGAATATTTGCAAAAAGAATGCTGTGGCACCTCCTGAGATGAGGCCTGGAGACATATCCTGTGCCTTGTGCCACTGCCTGGATCATCACCTTGGTGCTTGGAAAGCAAGTCCTGCAGTAGCATAGTACCCTAGAAAGAATTGAGGCTGACAATGGAATTCATTTCAAAAATAACTTGTGGACACCTTGGCCAGGGAGCACAGAGTGGGGCATCAACTCCCCACCTGCACCAGCCTCTGAGAAAACTGAACAATGGACTGTTAAAAGTCACATTGAAATCAATGAG